CACCCATCTTAAAGTTGCTGAGGTTGAGGAACCCTGACTTAGAAGACAGTGGAGTGCAAGGCCTCAGTCCTCCTTTTCTGCCCTGTGCAAGTTGCTCATTGTGCAAGACCTGAGTAACTTTATCAAGCAAGAGGAAAGACTGGCTGGACATAATTCTCCCATTCTGCTTAATGGCCTCTTACGCTGCTTATGAATACAGAGGGGAAAGGAAATGGAATTTTAAAGTCTGGGAATCCTTCATGCGCTGGTGTTGCGTCATGCCTATTTTTTAATCAATCCCCCCCCCCCCAAAAACCCAACATACAACTGACAACAGAACTTCTCAAGAGGCAACACTTCAAAAGAAGCAATAACACAAAGTTGGCATATTTGCATCGCCGCCATGTTCTAGCTTGGCATATTCACCGGTGTGCAGAGAAATCCACTGTATAAAAACCATCCAACCTGCAGCTGAATACGCAAAGCCACATTCCCATGTGGGAATTTCAGAAATATTACACTGGCTGTCATGGCTTTGTTAAATTTCATTCCTGCTTTGCTAAATCATGGGGTATGTAATAATAATATTTTTTTAAAAAAACAAGATAAAGTCAAGCAGAAACTAGAGTTTAGGGCTTCGGAGCACGGATGGGATTGAAGAAGTCAAGGTGGCCCCAACCGTGGGACTGAAGCCCCGCCCCTTTTTACTTGCATCATTGACTTCTTTGACCCCACCGCCACCGGACAACCCCTGGTAGTTTTCAATATATGATGCTCCTTGGGCTGCCTGCATTCAGACATCCACGATGCCAGAATGCTGACGTTGCAGATGTGCAATCTTGGCTAATGTTTTTACAAGGGGCCAACATGTTGTGTTCAACCCGGGGCATGTGTGACACCACCGGTCGGTGTGTGCGCGAGTTGTGCAGATGTGAACAGAACTCTTCGTTTACAGCAACGCCTCGTGTCAGAGTTTAAAAATAACGGATTGGACAGTTGAATGGCACACCGAAGTGGACAACAGCTGACTTTCTTCTTCCTGCATGTGATTTATCATAGATCAGCCACAAAACCAGGGCAATAGATCTGAGGGATCCCCAAGCACTATGAGTATGGCTGTAATAGGCTTCATAAACAAGATAAAGAGTTCATAAAATGAGTTCTGCCTCAGAAAAGCCAGCCCAAACAGAAGTAATGCCTAAATTTTAAAGCTGTTTTCCTCAGACTAGGTGCCTTCCATGAGTAACTTCCAACTCCCTGAATTCTCAATCAGGACTATATAAATTGCGGAGCCCCAGAATTGAAATCCATCTGTTTGGATGGTGCCCAGGTTAGGAAAGGCTGCTTTAATTGCCAAGAACCATGATTTTCCACAAATTGAACAATTTCAATATCCCAGAGTTTATCAGAATTGGGAGAGGAGAGGGAAGACCTTCCTCCCCCCAACCCACCCCCCAGAAGTTCTACTGTCTGCTGGATGTGGGATTCCCACAATGTTACAAGACACTTTTCATAATCAACATTCATTCACAAACATTTAAGGCAACTGGATAGAGAAAAAAAAAATCACTGATTTTATAAAAAGTGAACGTCAAACAAAAATGGTCTGCATTATGTACAAACAGATCGCGTAAAACTGTCAGAAAGACAAACATCATACTAGAAAGGGCAAGATACGATGGAAACCGGCAGTTGAAAAGACCGAGAGGTTCAAGACAAGCCAGAAAAACCACTGCAAATCTTCTTCCACTTAAATCCAACCATTCCCATCGTATTTGCCCCCGCTACAACCTGAATTCTTTTCCCTGCAGACTGTATCTGTGGCTCAGAAAGCCAGAAATACAGTGGAAAAATACTGCTCAGAGAACACGCTTTGGCAGTACAAATGTTTCACTATTTTGAAGTCAAAAACCCAAATTAAAAGATTTGGCTGAAGGTAAGTTTCATGGGCTTACCAGCGTCCATACTTCAAACAAAAAAATAGAAAAAGCAAAGAAAAACCAACACTCCAGCTGTTGTTATTCTCTATTTGGCCAGATGCCTGGGAGACGAGAGATACAATACTAAGAGAAGAACCTTTAGTAGGCCAACTGAGGATAGATGGAGGGGCAATCCTCGGGTTCACATAGGTCGGTCCTGCTTGTACAATACTGCTAGAGCTCTCCAAACACTGATTAAAAATCCCTTTGATGGAGTGACAAGTCTAGTTTTTGGCTTTTCGTTTTACTGTGCCTCTGGTCACCTGTTTTCTGCCTATGGAGGTTGGCCTGATGCTCACTCTGAATCAATGGGCTCATCTGCTTCTTAGCCGATGATTTTTTTTTTTTTTAAACCAGAATCAGGCAAAGGCAAGGAGCAAGAACCTGTAATTTCAGCAACTGACAGTTTTGCTAGGGTGAGCACCAAATGTTTTCGGACAGTTCTTGTCCAATATGGCTAATTTGAGCAGTTAAAAGGACTTCAGTTGGTGCAAAAAAGAACAGAAGCGAATTTAGGAGGAGGATGGAAACGTACTACTGAGGTGCGCCCCCTTTTAGATTCAAGTGGTCCAAAAAAAAAAAAAAATTACAGAAGACCAACATCCTTGATATTCATCACAATGTTTCCCTCCAAAGGTGAAAAAATATATACCTCTAAGCAATGGAGAACGATTTGACAATTTTGACAAAAGAAAGCCAGGGTGGTGCGGTTGTGTTCTCTCTCAGCCCAATGTACTTAACAGGGTTGTTGCTGTGAGAGAGAAATGAGTCTTGTTCTATACTAAGGAATAAGCACGTACCAAATAAAAATACTAAAAGCTTTTCAATTTCACACTTGGGCAACCCAATTTTTCCTAAATGACCTTCAGTTCTAATGATCTCAACACTCCAACCCCAGGTTGGGTTGGAAAGTTGCTAAGCGAAAAAAAACCCCAACCTTCCACCACAGAATTAAGCATAGAATTAACATCCCTATTTTTCTTTTTTTAAAAAGGAAGAAGCACAAAGGGAGGGAACTGGAGTGAAAATTCCTCTGTGGAACGCTGACAGCGGGACACGCAGCCCCAATTAAAAAATTAATTGCTTAACCCTTGGACTACGTTGGCCAGGAACTAAGTAAAGGGCTTTTGCAATTTCAGTAGCACAGGCACAGCGGCGAAGAACAGTATAACAGCCAAGGTTCAGTTCCATTCGATGAGCCTTTGTTAGCAGCAGTTAAGGGAAAAACAAAACACAGGGCACAATAAAAAAAGAAAAAGAGAGAGAAGCGTCTCCCACATGAGGGCCATTGAAAGGAGGGCAGGTTACGGTCGCAAGTTGCCTCCTATTCCTTTCACTAGGACTTTGGCCCATCGTTTGCAACAGCTCTATATCAATATTTCAAGCTTAATAAATAAACCCATTGTCTTCTATGCTTTCTCTGTATTTTATCCCTGACATCGGAAACACCTGGCAGTTGTGCGTTAGCAAACACAATAAAAGACTCTTCCTGAAGGTACTGAGGACTTGCAATGGGGGGCACTTCCCATTCCATTTTGCTGTACTCCATAAAAAATTTAAAAATGCAGATATGCCCTAATCTATGTGCAAAACGTCATCCAAATTAGTAAGGTAGTTGCAACTCCACCCCAGATATTACCCCGTTCACTTCCATCTATTTGTACGCTGTTTCAAATGTGGTACAAAACAGAGCCACTGATATCTTAAGGACAGTAACTTGGAGAACGAAACCCATCACCTTTTCCAATTTTCTCCCTTGATTCCATATATTACATTGCTCTATAAAAGCCTTCCAACTTTCCTCTTCTTTGTCTTTTTCAAGCATTTAAACAATACAAGACTAAAAGATTCTGGAAATACCCCTCGTACAAAAATGATTCTTTTAAAATCTTAAAACAACATTCAAAAAGGCACTTCATCCTGGAAGAAATTAAGTTCAGAGTCAGGTCAACTGCTCTAGAAGCAGGGTGGGGTGGGAAAAACACTCTGCATAGCAGGATGAGCTGGGAAGGGGATGAATTGACTTGTTGAAATAACACCAAGCTTTCGTTTTTTGTTTTTTTTCCCTTTTTTGGCATGTTCTAAGAAAAAAAGCAGATTTTGTTAAAACGCGTCCATTTATGAAATTTGTTAAAAGTCCCATTCAAAATAGCTTCTTTTTCATTTTCTTTCTTTCTTGATTTTGTTTTAAAAAGTAGTCTGATCACCTTATAGCATCAGTCATTCCCATGATTTAGTAGCACTGAGTCACGATTGTCTTTCATGTCAGAGGAAGATCAGAAACATTTTAACACTTATCCAGAGCGGTCTCTGCAAAATGCTGAATGCTTCAGGGTGGCTGCAGAACTGCAACGGCCGGAGTTCAAAGGGCTACCTGTTGCAGAGCTTATGAAGCATTGTGTAGACTTCTTCCTCTTTGCTTAGTCCTTCAAAGAAAGGAATAAGGTCTAACAATTCTGTGTCTGTCATGTCATCAAACCAGGACTGAACAGGCACCTAAATCCCCCCAAAAAAGAAAAGAAAAGAAACAACCCTAATATTAAGTTTTTATTCATAAAATAATAATCCTGCAATTGTAGGTTACTTGAAGCTTCGAGAAATGCCCTGGGGAAAGACTGATTGACTGATACAAGCCCTGCATTAGGTCTACTAATTCTCCCTAGCAGTATCTGAACACAGTACAGGTAGTCCTCAACTTATGACCATTCACTTAACGATTGTTTGAAGTTACAACAGTGCTGAAAAAGTGACTTACAACCATTGCAGTGTCCCAGTTGTCATGTGACCAAATTCGGGGCTTCCGACAAGCAAAGGCAATGGGGGAAGCTGGATTCGCGTAACAACCGTGTGATTCACTTAATGACCACAGTGATTCACTTAATGACCATGGCAAAAAGGTTGTAAAATTGGGTGTGACTCACTTAATGACTGCATCACTTAGCAACGGAAGTTCCAGTCCCAATTGTGGTCGTAAGTCAAGGACTACCTGTACAGGAATGCAAGGCAGAAAGCTATGCACACTGGCTCCAGCCCCAACTTCCCCACACAGAGCAAGGAGACTTCCAGGGAGTTCCAGGAGAAGTAAAGGGGTCTACTTGCAACATTCAAGCTGATGGTTTCATATGACTGAGTGGGCCTGTTTGCATATTGCATGGGTTCTTTGGGAAGAGGTTGTCCAGTGTGTTTTCATGGGGAATTCTGGCAGTTGAAAATGGATTTGTATACACACGATGTGTGTGTGTGTGCGCGCGTGTGTGCGTGCAGGCAGGCGAGTGGGTGCCTTATTTATCTGGGGAATGCTGTGTGCGTGATGCTGCCTCTCATGTTTTGGGTTCTTATTTTTGTCCCTTTTTGGAGGGTGTGCATCTGCTTAGCATCACTGTTTTTTCTTCAATTGGTTAACAGATGTTGTGTTTTCTAGAGGTCACATATATAATTTGGCATTTGAGGCTCAAGTCTAATGTCCACCTTGAACGTGGTTTCTTTGGTGAATGATCTGAGACAGATGAATCTCTGATGGCAGGTTCCCAAATTTTGAAGAGACACTATAGGCCCCAAATGAGCAAGATCCCTGACTAAACTGATTTATTCACTTACCCTCTAACACTGACCCTGTGGTGGTACATATCTTCTGTTTAAAAAAGGCTACAAATATTGCTGTAGATAAATCTAGCAAGGCAGAAACATCATTCCACGCATTGTAATCACAGCTACTTACTGCATTTTCAGGATGGAAGATGTAAGATGCAGGAGAATTATCAACTATTATGACTTTGCTCAATTCTCGCCCAAGCCGACTTAGATCTTTCACATAATTTCCTCTGTGGAAAACGCAGGATTCTCTGAAGAGTCGAGCCTTGAATACACCCCATCTGTCCAACAAGTCCGCCACTGGATCTGCATACTTTTGATTTTTTTTTTTTTTACATAAAAGAAAAGGGGTCATGGTTAAGTTAAGACATAGAGAATGTTTCCCTCCCTGTGAAAATTGTTTTCAATACAAATATTAAATGACCCCCAACCCAAACTGAAGAAATAAAGATAAAACCATGATGAGAATGTTGCTAAGTGCTTTCCTAGGATATGACATATAAAGCTTCTAGAACTCAAAAATGATTGGCAGACATTTGTGTAAAGAGTGTTTTTGTCTGATGGAAATGGTTCAGGAGGGGGAAGAGGTCTCCCCCGCAACTAAGTGCTAAAAGAGACTCCTCAGGATCATGCCGTCTGACCTCAGAAAACTGAGGATTAAGTGCACAAAAATAATCTCAACTTCTGCCATAAATTTGTGATTATTTAGAAGACTATTATGGCTCAGTGTAAAATGAGAGGCATCAGAGGGCTACTCTGTAAACACCAAAAGCGTGGTGCATAAGCACGAAGCAGTACCATTAAAATCTCCTTCTGGAAGTTATGTTTAAATGGGCCAACTGCATGAACCATATTTGATTATGAAAGAGGCTTAAAAAAATAAAAAGAGAATTTCTAATAGTGGCTGTTGTTGATCAATTCCCAAAGAGAATATAGATATACTGTAAATTGTTAAAATAAGCAGGCCTATTGTTTTTCAAGAGATCTATGGGTAGGAAGTAAAAAGGAAAATGTTCACACTATTTCCTCAACAGAACAACATGTGGTATTGCTAGAAGCAGGGATCAGAGATTCAGGGTTTAATCACCAGCAGTGCCAGTGAACAGGGAAAGACCCCATGGCCTCAGAATTTCTGCACAAGGCAGCTCATTGCATCTCACAAACATTGTTAGATAAAATGTGTGATGAGAATTATTTAGTGTTCTACGGGCACAAAGATAATTCTGAAAAATACAGCTGCTGGGAGTCAAGGATTTTTAAACTTCTATTAGAGGCTGCAACTCTGGTGTTGACAGCCACACTGCCTCTGATGCTGTATTTCACACAAATTTTAAATAGTAGTCAGCCCTGTGAAAATCCTTTTTGGTCACAGAATCACTTTCACTGGACTTTGGGTTCCAGGACTGCGGCCCCACTAATGAAGAATCAAACAACCCCCCCCCCCCATTTATTCACTGAAGTCTAGAGATAAAAGACAACTGTGATATTAATCTGAAATTAATTGGACCAAGTCTAATTCCAAAGGCAGCATCATGAGGAACCAGCTTGGCCTAGATCAAAGTCATGGTGGCATCTTATCCATATGCTGTGAACTACAACTGGGAGGTCTCATGTTTGGGAAGAGTGGAAAACTATTACAAAAGTAGCAAGCATGCTTTGGACCAATTGCTCATGAAGGAACAGTGTTTAATCCTGTACTTCCCTAAATATACTCTGCTATAGTATAGACTAGAAATTAAACAGGCCAATATTTAAACTATGAACAGTCAACATTCATATTGCTATTATTTATAGTTTTATAATAATTGAGAACAATCCTTTTTTAATTTGAAAACTGTGCATCATGTGGAATTTCTGCATTGGATAGAATTTCAGAGTAGAGATTAAGTAAACTTCTATTTTCACTGCAACTCCAAGGTACGACAGCTTCAAATGGCACAAATATTCCTCAATGAAAATGTGGAAGGCTAATGAACTTGTCTTGATTTTTAATCCTTCTTAATTGTATGCCACTCAGAGTCACTTTGTGAGATGGGCGGCTATATAAATGTGATGTATGTATGTATGTATGTATGTATGTATGTATAGGTAGGTAGGTAGGTAGGTAGGTAGGTAGGTAGGTAGGTAGGTAGGTAGGTAGG